CAAAGGAAGAAATCATGGCTGCTGAGCCTACTTGGGCCTCACCTGGGTGGATGCAGCATGGTCTAATACTGCATCTGTCCCCCACTGGGTCTAGGACCGAGAACTGAGTGATCAAACACCGCTGAACGCTGAGCTCTCGGTCTTCAGCCTGCAGAGAGACAAGAACAGTGTTCTTAATCCCAACAACACCAGTCTCAGTATTACCAGACTAGTGGAAGGCAGTAACCATGTTCCTGATCACCACCACACCAGTCCCAGTATTACTAGATGAGTGTAGGCCAGCAGCAGTGTTCCTGATCACCCTCCCACCAGTCCCAGTGTCTCCAGACTGGTGCAGGCTGCAACAGTGCTCATGTTAGATGCCACACCAGTGCCAGTGACCCAGACTAGCGCAGCCAGCAAGAGTGTACCTGATTGTTGCCACAGCAGTCCCAGTGTCAGCACAGCCAGTGCAGCCAGGAACAATGTCCCTAATCATCGCCACATGAGTTCCATTGACCCCAAACAACATTGTTCCTGTTCACTGTCACCAGTCTCAGTCTTCAGGCCAGTTTAAGCCAGCAAGAGTGTTCCTGATTGCTAGCCACACCAGTACCATGACTCGAAACCAGTGCTGCCAGCAACCATGTTTCTGATTGCTGCTACACCATTGACAGTGTCACCAAACAAGTGCAGCCAGCAACAATGTTCCTGTTCCTAATTGCTAGCCACACCATTGCCAGTGTCACCAGAGGCAGTGCAGCCATCAAAAGTGTCCCTGATTGCCAACACATTAGTTCAGTGTCACCAGAGCCAGTGTGTGGATGGGGACATTTGAACTGCACGTGGGGGGCCTTGATGTGGCTGTGCTCATCAATGCTTAGGACAAGGTGTAGGCTGCAGTCAAATCAAACATTATGGAAGTTCCCCAAATTAGAGATGATCCTTGCCACTGTATGCAGTAATAAAATGTACAGAGTTCCTCTGAAAAGTGTTGTCCCATGTCGATACACACATTGCCTGTATGTAGCATTTAGGAGGGCAGCTTCTGAGCCCGAGCCCTCTACACCAGTCCAGCTAACCTCTTTTACCTCACTCCCAAAAACAGAATGGGGTCTGCCGTGCACTCAGACCTCATGTGTGTACTTGATAAATCCTTTGCTCCTGTGCCATGTGATCAGGCTAAGGATCTCCTTAACGTGGGTTCAGTCCTGGTTCCTTTGGGAGACTGACTGACTGCTGCGAAGGGAACCAGAACACAGACCTCCCTCGCTACTGAGGTTTACCTGGATCAGGTAGCACGCCTCACGACTGGCTGTGATGTACCTTGCACTAGTACCTGGTTACCCATAGCAACTGCATTGATCCTCCTGCTAGACTTTTGTAGGAGCTTTTTTCCATGCTCCACTTGTGCTTTACTGACTTAAGTTCTTTTGATACACTAGAACCAACATGCACCCCTTTGAATAACCTCAGACCAGGCTCAGAACAGTAGGCAACCTGCCTAAAAGTGCAGCCAGCAACAGTGGTCTTAATCATTGCCATACTAATGCAGTTGCCTCCGCCTGTCACCTGTGCTGACCCTGGCCTATGTATTGACCATGTTTCTGCCTGCTGCCTGGACTGATCCATTGCCTGTTTGACAACCACCTCTCTGCCTGCTGCCTGAACTGATCCATCTGCATATCCCACTGACTAAGTTCCTGCAAGTCACCAATCCCAGCCATGTTCTGCTGACAACTGCACTTCTGGACCACAGGAACTCTGTTGTTCACCCCTTTGCTCAACGTCCTACACTTTCTGGCCAGTGAACATAGCAGAGTATAATTCCTGAGGAAATCGATGTACCAGTAGGCTAGCTTTGCTTGGCTTATAGGATGGGAACTGCTATAGGTGAAGCTGCACTAAGCTCTGTTCCCTGACCACTTTTACAGAGGCATTACAGTATGTTTTTGATACAATGTTGGTTGATTTTTGTGATACACAAGATACAATGTTCAATACATAATAAATAAATACATTAAAAAAGTCTCACATATGTGTAATGTTTTTTGGCATTAATTCTAAGTATACTCATGCTGTGTGTAAGAAACATCTTATTAAATTGACAACTTTGTGTAAAAAAAAAAAAAAAATTTTTATTTTCTTTATGCACTTTCCAAAAACTTGTGGCAAAAAAAAATTAAATCCTCACAAAGACTCACCATTTTACCATAAAAAATACTTTTTTTGTGGGTGTTTCCTACTGTCCTGGTGATTCAGGGCCTCCAAAATGTGATAGGTAGTCAGTTTGGGTGCTCCTTGGATTTTGGCCCCTCTATGTCTCACATACTGTATGTGGTATCCCCATACTTAGAAAGAAAGCAGAATGTGTTTTGGGGTGTTTTTCTAAGTATATCCTTACTGTGTGTTAGGAATAACCTATTAATTTACAACTTGCAACAGAATTCATTTCTTTTTACGCATTTTCAAAAACTTGTGACAAAAAAATTAAATCTTCAAAAGGCTTACTATGTCTCCTAAAAAAAAACCTTGTGGTGTCTGCTTTTCAAAATGTGGTCATTTGCGAGTATTTCTACTGTCCTGGCACTCCTGGGCCTCCAAACCTGTGATAAATAGTCAGGTAATGAGATGCCTAATTGATACCCCTTGAAAGCTTGAGGGTGCTTTTTGGATTTTAGGTCCCTTTATGTAGCTAGGTTGCAAAAAAGTCTTACATACAGTATGTGGTATCCCTATACTTAGAATAACCAGAATATACATTGGATTTTAGCGTTCTTAGCATAGTGACACCACCGTCTTTCCCCCTTACACATTATGATCATAGGGTCAGACCCTCGGATTAAGCCACACAACTGGCATAACGTGTAAGGTGCAGAACCATTGTCGCTAAGGACAGAAGTAAGGTTGTTTGTACAGAGCTTGGTCACACAGACATACACTATATTGACAAAAGTATTGGAACACCCAATACCACAGAGTGAATCCAGCCAGCTGTCATCTAAGCCTCTTTCATTCAGCACATTAGGAGGAAAGGCTAGCCAGCCAGATTCATATTGTGCAGCAGGCACAGCACAGCTGCCAACTTCAGACTCTGAATCCAGGCTGGGTTTCATCTCTGCCCCGCATTGGCCCAAATGCAGAGTAAGCAGCTGGGAATATAATGGCACTCCCCACCCAACCGCACCTGGCAGAGCCTGAGACCATTGCCAAAACCACACTTCACTACATGTGATCTATTATATAGGTGACTGGTCCCCTTCATAGACTCACAATGGCTACTGTATATTTCTGCTAATGAAAAATGCCCATAGTTAATACTTGCTATAATTTTCTCATTTCACTTCTTTACTGAATTATGTAAATAATCACAGGCAAGATGGCAACATGGGCACTATACCAACTGCTGAGTGCGCTTTAGGGGTGAGGAAAGCCTGGCACCAACACGTGACTCAGGATCTTCGAAATCACATTGTCTACAGACTGTAAGTGAATCTCAGTAGGGAAATAGTGTTGGGCTATACTGTAGGTGTAAGAACTGAATTGTACTGAATTCCCCTAAGGTAGTAGTATATGTGAATGTTATCCAATGTTATTCTAATTACAGGGTCCAGGCAATCTTCCGTGCCCCTTATCCAGCTGCCATGAGAGATCGACGCGTGGATAAACCTGGTGGCGTATGCTAAGAGGGTTGAGGGTGACATGTTTGCGTCTGCCAATAGCCGGGTATGTATTGTACTACAGTGTCTTACAGAATTTTGTTGATTAGAATGATAAGCGAGATATGAAGATGGCTTCAATTACTGACCTTCTTCTGAAAGTACTAGTAGTCTGGATACTGTTATACTATATTTACATTTATTAATACAATTTTGTATCTGAGGTTTTTTTCTGCATGCTACATTTGATGAAGCAGGATTGTGACTTGCTCCCTGTTTAAAGTCCAACTCTAGATTGGAAATACATCCCCTCCCTCAACCCCCGCACCCCAGCATTATCATCACTTGTAGTGCAGGGTGCAAAAGCTTAGCAGTGGGTTAAAAATGTAACTGGAATTTGGCTTTATACAGTATGTGATTTTGCACTTCCATCATAGGGAGGCCGGCGGATCACTTCTGCTGTTAACACTCACAGCAGAAGCCGATCTGCGAGTGCCGGTGAACAGACATCTGCTGGCACCTGCCAATCGTTGGGCAGGACACAGAACAGAGCTCTGCCTGGGGGGGGGGGGGGGGTGAAGAATCGTGTGTCCCTGCAATCATGTATCCTTCACTTCCCCTTGCAAAAGCACTACCTAGTGTACACCAAGCGCATAGCTAGGCACACAGTTAACCCTTTTATCATCCAAGATGTTTAACCCCTTCCCAGCCAATGTCATTAGTACAGTGACAGTGCATATTTATAGCACTGATCACTGTATTGGTGTCACTGGTTCCCACAAAGTGTCAGCTAGTGTCAGTTAATATAAAAATGTGCCACAATATCGCAGTCAGTTGATCGCCCCATGCTAATATAAAAAAAATGTTTCTGCCACAAGTTATCGCTATAAAACTTTTCAAAATATGCTTATTGGGATCTTTTTACCAAAAATATGTAGCAGTTGATTCGCCCCATTGCTAATATATATATATATTAATATATAAAAAAAAATGTTTTTAAATAAAATTTTGACTGCTGAAGCCAGATTGGAAGTAGATGTATTTATTATATAAGCATGCAGGGCATGACTGCGCAATTGTCAGAGTAAACACAAAATACATAGAGTTTTTAAGGGACCATGGATTTTAAAGATAATGATTGTGTAATAGTGGAATTTAGTTATTTTCTGTTTGTCTGTTTACCTTTGTCTATTTCATTTCATCCAGGATGAGTACTACCATTTGATTGCAGAGAAAACTTACAAAATCCGAAAGGAACTAGAGAAGAAGCGAAGGTTACGCCAAGAGAATGTTATGAAGAATCAGACCTTATAAATACACTATGTGGCCAGAAGTTTGTGAACACCCAGCCATTCCCCCTGAAGGGGCGGACTGACAACTCATGGGGCCCCCGGGCAATAGGGGATCATGGGGCCCCTGTGTCCTTGCCCAAACTCAAAAAAGCCTATGAAAAAGGTACCAGGGGCATCTCATGGGGCCCCCTATTGACCCCGGGCCCTCGGGCAGTGCCCGAGTTTCCAAATGGTCAGTCCGCCCCTGCATAGTATTGGATTCTAAAGAGAACTCTGTCTAACTAATGATCTCTAATACAATTTATATGTCCTAAACTGGATGGGACTTAGCTTTCTCACTTTCTCTGATGTTCCATCTGTGTAGTAGTTGTTGACTACTTATATTTATTTGCATACAACCATTGACCAGAATTTTACGGAAGTGGCAGCACTATTTAGGAGATAAAGAACATTTTTTACCTTAATGCATTCTCTGCATTAAGCTAAAAAATGTTCCAGTGGAAGTATCGCCCCCTTTATACTTACCTGAGTCCTATCTCAATCCAGCAGAGATTGGGGGTGGGGTGGGCTGCACTGTTTGTTTCTATAGACACACACAGTCCGGCACAGAAGCAAGCCCACAGTTGTGCCCCAATGAGAAGCAGCTTCCTGAGCGGTGCACAGAGAAGAGGAGGAGCCTACAGCCCTGGCAGGGGGCCCAGAAGAGGAACTTTGGGGCCTCTCTGTGCAATACCATTGCACAGGGCATATAAGTATAACGTATGTAGGCAGGTTGAAATTAGCCAGATAGGTCCTGCTCCAGATGGGAGGGTAGGGGTTAATGCCTTCCAGGTTCTTTGCTTTTTTTTTGGCGGGATCTTTGGGTCGAACCCACTGCACATGTGATATAAAAGGGGATGGTGGTGGGCCGAGTCCAGAGTTTTGGAGTGATTGCCTGGTCTTGCCCATTTTCCCAGTTCCCAGAGGAGAGCTACACCTGAAAAGAGTACAAAAGATGTCATAGTCTGCCATCAAGATGTAAAGTTGTCAAAACTTTACTGTCAAAGACTCCAGTGCTGGAGAATGCCTCAGAAGGACTCTGTGTAGCCTGGTTAGAAGTAGGGACTAGGGACTTAAGATGTTGACTGTTTTATTGACGCTCTACTGGATTGTTATGTCTGCTTGGATTCTATTGTAATGTTGCACTTTAATACAAGTAAAGCATTAAACTTTGCCTCCTGTCTGGTCTGAAGTCCTTGAAAAGGGTGCATTGCACGTAACTGGCACTATCACACACTCTACAGCTTGCGTCACATGGGGTATGAAGAGTCAGCACGTTAAGAGTCATTCTAGTGGAAGTTATACATGTGGTTGCCATGAGCAATGAAGGTACAGTCAGCAAGCAGCCTGTCAAAATGTGTACCTGTTATAGGTGGAATTGCCTCTAGCCACCAGGGAGATGTTGTTGACACTCCCGACGCCTCATTCCGTCCCCTTAGCTAGAACAGAACTTCAGTGCAGAGGTCCCATCCTGTAAAGAGGTACGGAAGTTCAAGACTTAAAGCCAAGTTCACTTTTGAGCCTGCGCACGATGGTGTTCCATGCTGCTACTGGGACCGGTAGTGGGAAACACTGGACAGGTGACTGTGGTCAGTGTTCGACATGTCCTGTCTAATTGCAAGTTACAGTAGAAGGATATACATTTACACAGGGACTTAACTGGAGAACAGTGCAAGTGTACATGGTGTACATTCATCTCTAATATTAGGGGCCTGACCTAAGACCGAGTATTTCTTGGCAGCCAGCTTAGCCTTGTCCTAAGGCATTGGTGAAAGCGGCACAAAGGTACCCTTTTTTTGTGTGAAGTAGGGGAGACTCTGTACAAGGTGCCTAGTGTAGCAGGCAGAGAAGAACCCACCCTTGCTTGGCACTCAGTGGGGAGGGAAAACATGGAGGATGTGTGACATACAACCACCACTTTGCCCTTTACATGTATGTATGTTATGTAAAAAAAAACCTGAACCTTTACAAACAGTTTTAAATCACATTTTTTGTAGAGTTAGGCAGGTTTAGAACATCTGACAATGTTTTTATTGCTGTTTGTGCCATCCTGTCCAGGTTAGTCCTCATTTCTTTCACAGGTGTCACAGGGACAGGACGTAAGAGAAAATCTCCCCAATGGAGTTACAGATAGAAAAACCTTCGAGAATTATTAACTCTGGCTAAAAGGGTAGCACTTCCACCTGGCAGCACTAGGGGTCGTCGGTTCGAATCCCATCCACAGCACCACCTGCCTGGAGTTTGCATGTTCTCCCTGTGGTTGCATGGGTTTCACCCCACACTCCAAAGACATGCTGGTAGGTTAATTGGCTCCTGTCTAAATGGACCCTAGTATGTAAATGCATGAATGTGAGTTAGGACCTTAGATTTTACGCTCCTTGAGGGTTAGAGACTGATGTGAATTTACAATATATATATGTAAATTGACAGAGCTATATAAGTACCTGTAATAATAATATTTAACGCTTCCCCATTCTATGCAAAACTAGAAAAAGTTTCTGGTTAGGCTTTAAAAGATATCCAAACCTTGAAACCAAATGTAATGCACTGCAGCTTCAAACGATCCATTATGCTCAATCCGCAGATCCGAACCATCCTGCTGGGATCGTCGGCATGCAACCTATACAGGCTGACACCAGACCCGCTCCACGAAAAGGTAAGTTGTAAAGAAAGCCGACGATCCCCGCAGGATGGATCAGATCTGCGGATTGGGGAGTATAATGGATCGGAGTCCGATCCATTATGCTCAATCCGCAGATCCGATCCATTCTGCGGGGATCGTCGGAGGGGGTGTCACCAAGCGTTATTGCACCGGGTGACACCAACCCTAGTCACTGCCCCTGATGTAAGGTGTACTGCTTTTTACTCACGTGGATCTGCTTTTCTTCTCTCTCTGGGACGGAATGTGCCCAGAGAGAGAGAAGATTTAATAATTTCCTGTACCTGTGTAAATGTAATCACAGGTACAGGAAGATCTCTGAAAGGGCAGGGATCATTCAGAAGATCCAGGCCGAACATCACTGGCCTGAATCTGTTGATTGATTGGTCAGGCACCAAATCACGGCACTGGTGGGTCGGCGGGTACGTGTGCGGCGCCGCAGTCGCGCGAATCACGTATATATACGTGATGTCGCACAGAGAGTCCCCCCGTAGCAGTATTTCAGCTATAGTGCGGACTTAAAGCAGTTAAGATAGTACCCATTACCCTCAATTTCCAACCACTGATTCAGCATCCCCCACCCTTTAGCTGTGTGATGAAGTGCTGAAAAGTCCAGGATAACAAACAGACACTTCACAGGCAGAGCAAGGAAGGGCAAGATAATAGAAATACACAACAGTTCCATGGGAGGAAAGCAATGGAAAAAAAACACCCACCTCCAGAATGCCCTTAAGACGATGCACTGTATACAGGACACTGGCACACGGCTATTTTTATACAAACTCAGAATAAAATGGAATATTTATTGAACAGTAACAAGGATGAAATAAAATAAACACACAACTCATATAGTGTTATAGTGGTGCTAAATAAATAATAAATAAAAAAAATGTGAAGTGAATACCACAAAATAAATGTGACCAAAAATGAATAAAACATCCATGATTAACGTGATAAAAAAATCAATTTAAATTAAAGGTGATCAAAAGTCCATGAAAAAACATAATAAAGTGATCCAAAGTCCATAAACTCAATTCTTCTCCTTCACTGCGTACAATAGACTGATAACCAAGTGCTTCACAGAAATCCCCCACATGGATGTGCACTCACCACAGATAATTGCCTTCCAGTGTTGTGGTTGGCAAACAAGCTTCCTGGGATAATCTTCCTGTGACGGAGGTGTAGGTGAGACAGAACACACGCAGAGAGCGGTCGGCACACAAAGGGTTTTTATTGAGGGATTTGGGGCACTTGATCGGTGCAGCAAGGGTTAAGTCCGGGGCACACAGCAGAGGGACAGTTCAGGCAGGTAATGGGTAAAGTTCAGGCTACAACATGGCAGTTCAGACAGACAATGGGTAAGTCCGGGCACACAGCAGAAGGGCAGGCTGGCAGACAATGAACAATCCGGGCACACAGCAGAGGGGCAGTTCAGGCAAAGATAATCCGGGCACACAGCAGAAGGCAGCTCTGGAAAAATCAGGACATGATTTCTAAACTACCATCACTCCCTCATTTTCAAGTCCACCTACACAAATCTTATATCAAAACGTTCAGCTATCCCTGCTGCCACTAAAAATGTCCACGGCTAAGCCATAGTCCTAATAGTTTTCACAATATGACCATTTGTTTGCAACTCATGCCGCCCATTGACATTCATTGAAACTCCACTCTAGCCACCTCAAATTTGAAGGGCAATTTCTAAACTGCGACTGTGCATGTCATCATTTTTAATATTTCAGAGGCATACTATGCATCAAAATGTAGGTCTGGGTCTTGTGATTCTCACAATATAAAGCTCTTCACTGTAGGATTTATAATTTTTAAAACTACGACCATTTGAAGATGCCAGTGAAGTGAGCAATTTGGAGCAGTTTGTTTTTAACCGCTCTTCTCTGCCCTATTTGAAATCTAATTTTGAATTTGTGACAGTTTGGCCGGCTTCTGGTTAAAGGTTTGGAAATAAGTTTTCTACAGTAGAGAGTATTTGAGGTGTTTCAACTAGCTACATTTATGAAAAGAAAATTAGAGCTGTGTGAATATCATCATGCCATCTAAAGGAAAGAGATCTAAAGCTGCAAAGATACGCTGGATTAAACTGGACCTTTCAGACCCACGCTTTCGGGATCCGGAGCCCCACAGCAGCATAGTGGAAATGGAGGCCCACTCCATAAAGTTACTCTGCCCAGTCCAACCTTTTCACAGTTACTCCAACCACTCCAACCACACAACAGTTACTCAAGACACTCCACCCAGTTACTCCGCCCACTCCAGTTGTAGACTACTGGTGGAGGCAAGAACACTTCACACAATTTCCCCAGAAATTGTAGATTTTCCAGTTCTTATTCTTATTATAGCCAAATTTACCACCCTAACTCCTCCCACAGTTTTTACACTACATAGACAGTAATATACGTGCGGATTGTTCCCGATTGGTGTGCTATTACTTTGTGGAACGTTTCGCCAAATGGTTCACGAAATATCAGCGTTTTTGTGGTGAAATTGGTCCCATAGGAATGAATGGCGGAATGTTCAAAACTAGAGTGGGAGCTGACAAAAGCTAGAGTGTGAGCTGAAAAATCAGGACATGATTTCTAAACTGCCATCACTCCCTCATTTTCAAGCCCACCTACACAAATCTTATATCAAAACGTTCAGCTATCCCTGCTGCACACTAAAAATGTCCACGGCAATTTTTAAACTACGACTGTGCCTTCATTTTTAATATTTCAGAGACATACTATGCATCAAAATGTAGGTCTGGGTCTTGTGATTCTCACAATATAAAGCTCTTTGCTGTAGGATTTATAGTTTTTACTCTGCCCAGTCCAACCTTTTCACAGTTACTCTAGCCATTCCAACCACACAACAGTTACTCAAGCCACTCCACCCAGTTACTCCGCCCACTGCAGTTGTAGACTGGTGGAGGCAAGAACACTTCACACAATTTCCCCAGAAATTGTAGCTTTTCTAGTTATTATTATTATTATACAGTTTTTATATAGCGCCAAAGGGTTTGCTCAGCGCTGTACAGTAGCAAGGGGGACAGAACATGAGACAAGACAGTAACAATACAATACACAAGGGGTTTGAGGGCCCTGCTCTTTCGAGCTTACAATCTAGAGGGAGGGGAAGGTGGTACAGGAGGAGATGGCTGTGGGGGATGGAGTGGTGGGAGGAGTGGAGGAGGTTAGTTGTTAGGTGAGGTCGGGTGTTAGGTGAGGTTGGGGTAGGCTTCCCTGAAGAGGAGGGTTTTCAGGGTGCGCCTGAAGGTGAGGAGGGTAGGTGACAGTCTGATGGATTGGGGTAGGGAGTTCCAGAGGATGGGGGAAGTCCTGGAGAAGTCCTGCAATTGGGCGTGGGAGGAGGAGACCAGGGAGCTAGAGAGTAGGAGGTCCTGTGAGGAGCGGAGGGCACCGGTAGGGTAGTATTTGGGTATCCAGGTCAGTTATGTAGTTCGGGGCGGCATTGTGAATGGCTTTGTAGGTCAGAGTTAGCAGTTTGAATTTGATGCGTTGGGCAATCGGGAGCCAATGAAGGGATTGGCAGAGGGGGGAGGCAGATGTGGAGCGGTTGGTGAGGTGGATGAGTCTAGCCGCTGAGTTTTTAGGATCGACTGGAGTGGGGATAGCGTTCGTTTGGGTAGGCCAGTGAGAAGGGAATTGCAATAGTCCAGGCGTGAGATGATAGCTTTTCTAGTTATCTGTTATTATCTCTTCTGTTGTGACACGTGATGCATTAAATCTACTTTGAATAGGCAACGCCTGTGTTTTGTCTCTCATTTTACTCTGCATTGGATATATACTTCAATTTGTATTGGGATTCAAGTTTTATGGATTGTATATTTGCGCTTTTATATGTATTTTATCTTGATTAACCATTGAATAAAGTATTGACTGTGTACAGGAATAGCACTGTTCTTTAGAAACATTCTGACTACAATTATGCTGTGATTTACAGATAGCCAGACAAAATAGCATTTTCAGAAATGGTATGCAAAGGCTGCTCCCATATTTCTCCCATGACAGGTCTATTTTCAATTGGCAGTGTTGACTGCATGTGTTAATGTTCAAGCTGAACATTCTGTGAATGTCTCCCGCCCTTCTAGGAGTAACATTTTCACTTTCATTTCTGCTTCGCTCGTTTCAGCATGGCGTCTGTCAATCTACAAGAAGAGCTGGACTGCTCCATCTGTCTGGACATCTATAAAGATCCTGTGTCACTAAGATGTGGACATAACTTCTGCCAAGACTGTGTGGTGTCTGCACTGAAAGCACAGAAGTCCAGACTGTATACCTGTCCCGAATGTAAAGCTGAGTATGCCGAGTGGCCTCTACTAGAGAAAAACAGGAAGCTACGAAACATAGTGGAAGGTTTCCTATCTATCCAGAGAGACCAGGAGAATATATTATGTACGTATTGTGTTAAATCTTCTACACCCGCTGTTAAGACCTGCCTCCATTGTGAGATCTCTCTGTGTGCAGAGCACCTGGAAGCCCACAACAATAACTTGGATCATGTTTTAACAGAACCCACCTCCTCCTTCGGTAATAAAAAGTGCTCCATCCACAAGAAACCTTTGGAGTTCTACTGCTGTGAAGATACTACTTGTCTGTGTACCTCCTGTTGTTTGGTTGGAAAGCACAAGGGACATGATGTGATTCTTGTAGAAGAGGCTGCCGAGCAGGTGAAGGAGAGACTAAAAAAAATGCTTTGGTTAAACTTACTCCACTGGAAGACAAACTTGAAAAACAAGTTCGAAGTCTGCAGGAGCACAAGAAAAAAGTGCAGGGGAAAGCACATTCTGAAAAACAACAGGCTACCAACCTGTACAAAGATATCAGAAGACAGGCAGAGGTCCAAGAGAAACAAGTCCTAAGCGACATCTCCAAGGTGGAAGAACATGTTTTACTCAAAGTCTCTGATGTGATCAAGGAGGTGGAATCACAAAAGACCAAGCTGTCCAAGAAGATACGTGAAATGAAGAAGCTGAGTGACATGACTGATTCAATAGCTCTTCTGCAAGAACAGCAAGCAAATGTAGATGAAGCTTCTGAGGGCCAAGATGTAAAAGTCTGACAATAAAGATCTGGACATCCCTGGTCTGGATGAGGTTTTGGTTATGTTGACTTTGCATAAATCCATTACTGATTTTGTGAACAAGGCAAACTTGAAAGTTTCTTCCCACATAAAAAGGGCTTTCTGACATGTTATTGGATGTCAACACTGCGCATATGAATGTGGCTTTATCCCATGACCTGAAGGTAGCATCATTTTACACAACACCTCAGGTCAGGTCAGAATTACCGGGGAGATTTACATTCTGGAGTCAAGTGTTGAGCACCAAGAGCTTCTCCTCAGGACAACATTTCTGGGAGATAGAAACCAGTCACTTTTTTGGACTGTGCGAATTTGGGGTGTGCTACCCTAGCATGGAAAGGCAACAAGAAAGGTCTGGTATTGGAGAAAACAACAAGTCCTGGAGCTTACGACTTGCTCCGAATAAATATTTAGCTATGCATAATTCAGAAACACAGGAAGTTCCTCGCACGTCTCCCTGCTTGAGATATGTCGTGTGTACCTGGATTACAAGTCTGGACATTTGTCCTTCTATCAGCTGTGCGATACCATCCTACATCTGCATACCTTCAAGGCAACCTTCACCGAGCCCCTGCATGCTGCATTCTATGTGGATGATGGCGCTTGGGTAAAGATAAAAAGTTAAAAGGGGTACTCTGCTTTCTGACTGGTGCAAAACAGGTTCCAAAGTTTGAATTTGTGTATTTAAAACCTGAACTAGGTTTTTTATTGTATACTCACATTGGAAATGACATGATCTCGTAAGTATGCATATCTCATACTGAGAGTTCGCTGTGGAAGCTCTCAATGACTGTAGTAGTAACTGCTATTACAGTGATCGTCACTGTCTTCTGGGTCTTGTGGCAAGCAGCTGCCCCACTCCACACTGATCACAGGGGTTCGCTCACTTGGCACTGCTCATCACCCATTCACAAAAGACCTTGTATTTTTTCAATGAATACAAGACTGAATTAACTGAAGAGGAGGGATGGTGATATCACAATCTCCACCTCGTCCATTCAGAGAACATCATGTATTCATTAAAAATGAAGAGGACAGTGGTGATCAGTGTAGTACAGTAGCAATGATTGGCAGCTTACATTAGCTCTTCAGGTATGATGTGCATACTTACATCGGTCTGAGCTGGACCAATCAAAATATGCAGTGAAGATCATACCTGAAGTTCAGCATCAATGATCTAAAGTGGTTGTAAACCCTTACATATACCTAGTACCTAGTGAAGTGACTGACCTTATATGATAGACAGGGGTGAAACAAATCCAAATACGTTCCAAGGAATTGTTGCTGTATTGTCTCCCTTTATATTGTAAAGGGCTGAGCAAACTGTTGGTGCTATATAAAACCTGTATAATAATAATAATAAGTTGTACCTGTTTATTTTGCAGCCATTTGTTCTGTACATCCTTGTAAAACTCAGAGATGAAAAGGATTATTCAAAGATTCACAGAGCAGGGGTGGGGAGCTGCAGTTGCACACTGTATAAGAGCTCTGAGAGCTGATTGGAGGAAAGGGACTCCCCCCCCCCTTCACACAGCATACAGGAACAGAACTGAGGCTGTCAACACAGGCTGTCTGCTGGAGCTCTCTCCCCTGTCACCTTTTTAGCTCTTGGTGTCAGGAAAACATGTCAGAAGTGACTCATGCTGATAACAGAGGAACAAGACAGCAGAAAAACGACACATAGAGCTTTGGAGAGAGGCAAGTAAACACTATAGAAATATGTTCTTTGTTCAGATTTCATGTATGAGGTTTACAACCACTTTAAAGCTGACCTCTGGGGAAAATTTTAAACTACCCTTGTAGGTGGGGCTTTCCCTGCACTGCAAGGGTTAAATGCTCTTTAATCCTAGGGTACCATTAAAAGCAGCTTCACTTAACATATCCTATGCTATGGTTGTGGGGGGCCCTCGGCATCCTCACTTATAATGCAGACCACTGGTCCTGCATTGTATGTGTATGTGATGATGTAAGAGTGCCTGCAACTCATGGAGTGCTGAAGAGAAGTGGCTTTCGGCGATCGGCTACATGGAAAGGGAGAAGCCTGCAGGTGGAAGGAATAAGGTAAGTAAAACTGCATTTAAAGGTACCCTAAGGCCTGGCTCACACCTATGCGTTTTTAGTGATTTTTTTTATTGCAAAAACTCACTACAGTCCATTTAACATAGTTTCCTATGGGACAAGTTCACATTTATGCATTTTCAGCCGTTGTATTTTTGGAAAGGATCAGGGACTTGTTTTTTTTCTGCAGCAAATTGCAACATGCATAGGTGTGAACCACGCCTTAGACAAAAATGAGCATTTAGCCCCTGCGGTCCAGGTTGAGCAAAGGTCATTTTAAATTTTCCCAGCTTTATCTAGTGGCATCACCCCTACTGCAGATGTGTGTTTACACGAAACGCGTCTAGGAGGAGCCCCTGCACGCTTTGACGCTAAGCCGCCGGATCAGGAGGTCCGGCGGCCCACATTAGATGTATGCTGGTCAGTGTTTTTGGGTGCTTTTACTGCTCATAGCAGTTTCATACTATATACAGTCATTCATGTATGTATTTCTGCTCAGAATTTTAATGTAATAAATTTATAGTTTTAAATACTACACTATGAGCACCTTTATTCTCCATATCTGGCACTGAGCCTCCATGTCTCAGCCCCAGTGATTTAGGTATTGCTGCAGACTTGATGAAGTAAATACTTGGAGATCAGATCGGTATCCTTTCTTTCACCACTGAGGGTCCATCAGAGGATTTCATTTCCGGGCTGTCTTTATTCAAGATCCTAGGATGCATGTGATACAGATATGCGTTTATTACTGGGTTTCTGGTGAGTAGGCAATCTATTCATATTGTCACAACGGGGGAGACCGGATTGCACCTACAACGTCTGATATTTCACTGTGGACTGAGGAATCCATATATTTATATTACAGTGGACTTATTTTAATATTAGTATTATTTGACTATATTGATATTATTTTACTGTATTTTTTCTTTGCCATTTAATTTGATGTAGCGCTGCACTCCTTGTACTTTTGAGTTTATTAGAAAGGTTTTGTGGTTCCTTTTAGTGCATTGGTCGCTTGTCGGATTGCGCTCACTAACTTATATATTTAGAGATTTCCCTATGCAGCAAGTGACCAGGGGCGGACTGACAACTCATGGGGCCCCCAGGCAATAGGGGATCATGGGGCCCCTGTGTCCTTGCCCAAACTCAAAAAAGCCTATGAAAAAGGTACCAGGGGCATCTCATGGGGCCCCTTACTGACCCTGGGCCCTCGGGCAGTGCCCAAGTTTCCAAATGGTCAGTCCACCCCTGCACGTGACTTTTCTATATGTGGACTTTTTTCTTTAGGATGATTTATCCAGATATAGGGCTGGATTCTGCACTTACCCCTGGTTCACATATCCGCGTTCCTGCGGTCTGCGTTTTACGCGGACACAAGAGCCCATTCATTTGAATGGACTCCCGCGCCCCAGACACGCAGTGAAGAAGTCCCTGCACTTCTTCTGAAAACGCAGCCCGCATGGGAACCTCGGTTCCCAGTATGGCACCTGCCCGCGGGTCCGCATTTCTCTGTGCGGGTGGTGCGGCTGCACTGATTTTTTAGTGCGGATCCGCAGCGGCACCACCCGCA